AAGCTTAGGGTTAAGATTTCGCCTGTTTGACAGTAATTTCAAAAACTGTGAAAAATTAATCGATAAAAATGGATATTGTTATAAGTTTGTGTTATGTCTGTGATTACAAATTCTTCCGACAGTCACGAGGTTTCTTTCAAGCGGACGACATGAAGCCTTAAGGTGTAAACCAAATATTGCAGAGCGGAATTTCCGTGTCGAATTATTTCCGTCTGTGAAATGTTTTGTCAAAAATTTCATTTTGTGTTCGTGGGAAGATAAAGCTTGATGTTCCACGTGACTCTAAATTTTTTTTCCATCTTTATGTTTTTTAAACAGATACTCTGATATTAGAGGATTTCGAATCACGAAAATTTAGATATTGTCTCTCTTTCTTGCATGTTTCTTCCAAGGAGGTTACTTGCATGCCATGATAATCGGAACCCCACAGGAATTTTCTTCTGACAACCAGAATAAATCCTTTGTTCTTTACGTCAATTTTCTCGTTACGTAATAAAGGACATCACTTTAGACTTAAAACATCAATACAAAAAAGTTTCGAAACTTTCGTGACTCATCACATCTACGCGCGTGGATCAAAAGAACTTAATTAAAATGGTTCACTACAATTTCCAATTCAAAACCACACAGAAAATATCATGCTTCATTCAGCTATTTGAGGTGCTTGCGGAACCCCGGACTCCAAGTGAGAAGATCAATATCTATCATCAACAAGTTGAGCTTTTTGGCAATGTTGTGGACTAACCAAAAAACCTCATCTGATTATGGTGTTAACTGGATTTGTCAAAAAATGTCAATAGACAGTTCCATCTTTCCAAGATTAAAGCAGCGGAAGGTCGAAAAATTTTCAAATATAGACGCTGGTAATTTGCCAGCAATTAATTCTTCGCCTAGTCAGTGCTTAATTATTGTACAGTATTACATGAGTCACCATCAAACAAGCTATAAATTAGTTCGTTCTATTTGCGATTGACAGCTTATTTGCGTCATGCTACAACATTAATCGTTTTATATACACGTCATTCGCACACCAGTGAACTCTTGTAATCATGACTCGGCAGGGGAAGCCATTAGCACGCGTTCGTAAATCAATCAAACTTTAAAATACTGTAGTGTAGTTTCAGCAAATTAAAATGAGTGCCTGACATCTTCAGGTTCCATCCTCAAAACAAGCCCCTCATTAATCTAGCAAATCAATAGAACTCGTTCCGCATGCTGAAAAGGCGGACACTTGCGGTTGATTACGTTTGTTCCCTTACTTGAAAATGTTACCATAACGTTGCGTTTGAATTGTTCAATTGCCCATTCTGTGCATTCCTTTTTAAGATAAAATACTTACTTTAAGGGTTCATATTCCCCGACGGTGTTTCAAAAACTGGCCTTTTAAATCACGAGCTCTTTTCTACTGTTAGAGAACAGTCCATTTATCTTCTAAAGATATTGAAATATTTGCGGTTTTCTGCTTTTCAATTTAGAATGATCTTTTAAATTGTTCAAACTAATAAAAATTGCTCTTAAAATTCCACCGTTGACCACACTCTTGCTGCAAGAACCTCAGGTATCTTCACTGAGACAGACAACAGGTGGCATATCAAATGATTTTTTATAAGCTCTGATTCAAAATTGGGGCCGTGAAGGTTAACACATATCAGTATAACTTACAGTTCCTTTCGTCTAAGCTTAAACCTTTGCGATAAGCATGAAAACTTGCTTCATTAGATCTTGAGCCATTTTCAAGTCAAAGATAATTTTCCTTAATAACTTTGAGGTTACGTGATAATTTTTTTTCCAGTAAAAAAACAAACAAAGACGTACAAAAAGGTAAGGATTAAGAATATTAATGAAAGCTGCAAATGATGAATTTCACAACTTTAAGTTTGACGTTTTCGTAAGAAAGACACACGAAGGGCTATGTCCTTGGAACAAATGATAAGGTGGCAAAGGGATAGAGGCGTTATTTTTTTCCCTTAAATTTAGACTGAAGAGAGAAAAACAGAAATTTGACTCTCAAAAATTTGCAACACGAGGCTGCTTTTTTGGTTATTTAGAAAACCTTAATAAAGTAAACCGAAAGACCAAGAAACGAGGAAATTGGAAAACAAAACTATACGACACGAGTGCTCGTACTTTCAGTTTCTTATGTCTACAAAACAGGTGATTCTACTGCAAGATTTCCTCCTCCTGAGGGGCTTCTTGCGCAGAAAAACAAGGGAGCACTTTGCGACATGAATTCCCTATTTTGTAGAAAAAAATTGTACTACTCTGATGGCATTCAAACATTCTGAACACGATGCTCTTGCTTTTGCTTTGTCTTTTTACCCGCTGCTATTACTCCTTGTCAAGCGTTATACGTTTTTTAAGACCCAATAAAAGAAAGCTGCCAAACTTAACAGTTATTAAAAACACAGAGCAGAGAGAAGGGACTTTCCGAATTTGTGCTCGATACCCTCTCAATCAACTGAAATTCAAAGATCTCGCTGGCGAATCAGGCCATGTAGTTGTTTTAGGTGAAAGAATTGATCGCTGTGTGCTTTTTTGTTTAAAGTTTTCGAAAGCTTCCTATGTAGATAAATTTTTAATTAGATGTTCCGCTTTCCATCCCATCCAGGGCTTATTCTAAGAGCGCCGTGCAGTAAAGTTGAATAACACAATCAAATTCGCGAACACCAATTGGGTATGGTGGATAAGTAATTTTTCTTCCATTTGAAATATTTGCAGAAATGATATTTTAAAAGCGATAACTTTTGAAAAGTAACGATACAAGCATGTTTAGTCATAATTTTTTTGACAATTGAAGAACTCGCAGGGACCTACTTCAACTTAAAACCGAAGAGATCTCGTGTGGTCGTAATGGTCAGGTGTTGTGACTAGTTTGTTTTGCTTCCAATATGCAGGTCTAACGAGCTTATGTGATATTACTTGTTTTGTGTAAAATGACAAAACGTTTAATTTAACCTCTTGAAATCAAATACGTGCTTCCTTAGAGTTACGATACTATGACGAGAAAACCACCTTTCCTATAGGTTTTTCACATAGTTCCTGTTTTCTGATTGTTTGAAATTATTTCTTTTGTGTTCGAATTTTGAAGAAATCACGACAATTCCTCTCTGACTTGACTCACCCTTTTACTTATTGAGCAAGAAAGAGGACATATTTTCGACCCAGTTTCTAAGTCGTTTCCCGAAAAATAGGCGAAAAGTCTGACAACTATGTTGAATTCCAAGTTCTCAGCGTAACGATAACCTTTGGCCAAAATACAATATTGTTAACCGGTTATTACAAGCATCCATACATTAACGCCTTGTTTTGTATTGATGCTTGTCTCTGGTCATTTATTTATCTCTCTTTGTCCACTTAGTTTATCCTCCACCATGAACTGAAGGCCAAACATCAAGTGGTGAGTTAAGTGACCGGGATGTTTTGTTTCATGACACGACACCAATTTTTAAGGGCTGTACAAAAAATAGATGTGTAAAATAGGAAAACACTCTTACGACGTGTTAAATTTCATACGTGAGCTGATTTTTAATTTTGCGACACCGAGAATTCCTGAACCTTCCCTTTCATTCTTAATCAAGTTTGCGTATTTTGCTACCCACTCAGGAAACACGCCGAAACCAACGGAAGATAGATCATAAGGTCGAGAAAATTGCGGCGCCATTATGGATTGTTCCTTTTGTGTTATTCAAGTTGGCTGCAGGCTATGTTCAACCAATGTAATCCGCGTTAAGTATAGATCCAATATTCTCCTTTTCAAACGTAAAAAGGCATTGAAAAGATACAATAAACAAAACCTCTAAAAGCCAGCCACATAAAGGGTCTCTTGTGTTCTAAAGCCCTGTGGTTGGTTATAAACTAAAGATAAATGAATGTTTGTGAAGCCAGTGGCGTTGTGGATTTCAAGAGTCGCGAAACATGACGCAATAGGAACTAAGTCTTAATAGTTTTATAAATAGGCCATTAACTTACGAATACTGAGTAAGAACGCGCTTTGGTTTCGACAAAGATAAACAACTTCCTTGCCCAGGGCTATAATTAATTAGTTATCTTTGAAATATTCCAGTGGACTTCTTTATCCGTATTCATTTAATTTGCAAGGCAATTGTTAGGCCGACACAACGGATTGTTCTTTAATTAGAAAGTTACGAATACATTAGCGTTTTTGCACACCTTTCAGGACAAAGGAAGAAAAATAGTTCAGAAATCGTGCTCTGCTGCGAAGAATAAGCCTTTTGTGCTTTATCAGCTTGAAATTAAAAAGTATGATAAACATTTTGTGAGTATAATGAACGTCTCAGCTTGGCCTAGGTTTCAAGTTGAGTAGCAGCGTGCTGTGAAAAACCTACCTCGCTGAATAATCGCTGAGTTTATCTTTTTAAAGAAGTAAAGACTTAAAAAATTCGCTATTCTCGATGAATTCCGCATTGCAGCCGAGGAGTATTGCGTAATATCCGATCACGTCTTTTTGAACCAAATTGGCTTCGACCGAAATTTAATTAATTTATTAAACCTCTTGCTTTAGTGAAACAACGAACGAGGTGTTAAAATATCCATGGCTACAGAGACATTTTAATAATCTTTATTGAGCGTTAATTGTATTATAGAGTCTCTTTAATCACCACACAGCGGTCAAAAACGTTGCTGTTGAGCTTTTGAAGTGCGAAATTTCGTCAAGAACTCCAAGGTATTCGAATTCCGGAGACGCGCAACTTCGACATCTTGGCGTCAATTTTACCTTCGCCACTCAGAACCTATTAACATGTAATAGGGAGAATTAAGACAACAAGACGATGACACAAATACATTTTATCAACTTCCTGGGTGGAATAGTGTTAAGAAGAGGCCATGGGGGCCAAAGGAACAAACAAACTTAAGTATTATATTGTTAATATCGCCTTAATCATAACGCAGCCCGCTGATTGGCTGCTGAAAATGGCCTATTTATTTTAAGGCCTTTGTTTGAACAAATAAACATTGATTAAAACTATGACAGTCGGTCATTTTGATTAACTAACAAAGGACGAAGATTAGGGGCAAATATAAAATCTGCATTAATCTAACTTTTCTTTTCAAATAAAAATTGTTAAGGACGAAGCTACTCCTTGGCGAGGACAAACACTCTTGGTTGGTTTACAGAGTGGACGTTGGACTGATAATGGATTCAGCCGCGCGACCGAGCATGGTCTTCACGGAGAAGAAGGAAAAAGAAACGCAAAATGGATCAGAGCATTCGATAGAATCGGCCCTTATTCAAGCTTCAAGTAAAGGTTACACGATCGATATGATTCTTGGAACAAACGATCGAAGACCAAAACCCAAACAGGAGGAAGCGTTCGAACAAGAAAGCAAACTGTCAAGAAATTCTAGCGACGACGAAGGTAAATTAAATAAACCATCACCACGTTCGCTTTCAAGTTGATATTACAATCTTATGACACACTTGAGACAGTTTACTCAAGGAATTTCAATGCACTCGTCTTCTCTTTTCGCTGAACGCTCTGCAAACATAGCGGAAAGTTTCAGATGAGGTGCTAATTTCGTGTTTAAATTTCAATTTCCCCATCCTTGAATTGTCAAACAACGAGGAAATGTTTACTTCGCTTTCAATTCTAACCACAAGCGTAGATTTTTGCGAGCTCGAACCATGACTAACTTTCGGAACTGTGTGTTTGCAAAGTGCGCCTTTTGATGTTCAGTGCGACTGCCGTGATTTGCAAATTTACATGCGGCAGAAGCGAAGGCAATGCTTAAAGTGTTTAAATGCAGTTAACCGGCTTGCTGTGCTTTTATTTATCCACTTAATTTTCTCATTTGTTAGATGACTTGAGCGTGGGCGACGAGAAAGGATTCAAGGACGAGGACGACCTTGACGAAAATGATGGCAAGCCGAGAAAAATGCGCCGGAGTCGCACCACCTTCACGACCTACCAACTTCACCAACTCGAGCGCGCTTTTGAGAAAACACAATATCCTGACGTTTTTACAAGGGAAGAGTTAGCCTTGAGGCTGGACTTGAGTGAGGCACGAGTGCAAGTGAGTAAGGTTTTTCAATTATTCATAGTCAGTTCTAGGCACAAAAAATGGCAGGACTATTTGGGGCGAAGCAGCCGCGAAGTAATCTGTGTTACTAATCGGCATTTTGGCAGCAGTCGCTGCGAGAGGCGGTGAAAGGCGGCGCGAATTCTCTATGTTTAAACTCGGACTTTTGATGAAAACGTGATAAAATCAACTTGTGACTTTTGTGTTGTATGACTGTGCATTTTACCCTGTATTCAATTCATTGCAGATCATTTTAAGGTTCTTGCTTATTATCAAGAAGCAAATAGGAAAAAAAATTAAACTGGTTTTTATAGAAGGGTGTTTTTTAAGTGGCTCGTCCTGATCTGGTTGCGTGGCGCCCGAGTCATCTTTTTTGAGAATGCAACAATATTTAAACTTTTGCGATTGAGTAGTTGTGATACAGTATGAAGCTTTTGTTTCATCAATTACGTGGGTGAAAATCAAGCTGATGAAATAACAGCTCCAGTCGCCTTACTCATTAAATCAATGAGTTACAACCTAGTATTTACGACAAATTTAAAATTGTATTTAACATTTGTAGCTCTGATAACTTTCACTGGAGAGCGTGTGCGAAACGACACTGAAAAAAATGGCTTTGAATTTGAACGCTTGGAGAATTCACGGCCGAACAGCTAGCTGGCGCAAGTGATTCTTATAAAACAGCTATTTTGATTACAGCAATTGGAGTTGCTGTCCTAAGAGGGGAAAAATTACCGTCTGAATAACGTGTTATGACGAAAATACTGGCCATGACGAAACAGTGTACGTTACGTACGTTACGGCCTAACGACTCGGTTACGCCCGGAGACCGTAGAGTGGAACATGTTAATCTGCGAGGGCTTCTAAACGAAATTTCGCTTGAAATTGAAATTTAGTTGAAAAGTAACTCGTTCACGTTTTGAAAGCGAAGCAAATGAAATGGGCCTAATAATGATGCAATTTGGTTCGAAACGCGGCTGTCTCTAAAAGCACAAGACAACAGACGTTAAGCTCGTGTTGTGACAATTTTTATGCCATGTAATTAAATTTCGGAAGGTTTTGTGAAATTTCAGAGATATTGAAATTTGCATCCAGTTGTCGGCGTGTAAAAGTGTATACCAAAGCTTTTTTCTGCTCTAGCAAATGACAGTTTAACCTGCGCGGTTGAAAAGATGTCTGAAGGGTAATTAATAGATTGAAACAAAAAAGTTTTTATTCGATTGCAATGATAGTGTTTGGGGCAAAGCGTTCTTTTCTTGGTATCGCTCTGAATTTATTTAGTTCTGACGAAAAGCTATTAACCACTGTAAATTGCATTTTAAGTGAATATGTATACAAAGACAGTACAATTGAGGCAATTATTTTGTCGTATTAATGGGTTATATTGAACAGCCATGAAAACAAAGTGGATAATTAATCATGACGTAGATACTAGAATTGGCAATTAGCGTAGGACCTTTTGAACAAGCCAGGCTACCTTTATAATGATTTCAATGGCACGACGCAGTCATAAAAATAACTATTGCCCCAGGGGTTTGGTGGTAGGAAACTGAATGACTTAATTATGAAGAACCTCTTGCTTTCAAAACCTGACTAAGTCCTGTGTCATTGTAATTACGTCAAACGAAATCAAGTTAGAATTGCTCAGCAAAAAAAAGCTTGAAGGTTTCACTTCATTTGTTCTCTGAAATATTAGCGTCGTACAGTTACAAGAAACCTGTTTACAGTCGTCATTACTCTAGGCATTTCTCTCCTATTGAGTTGTCGTTGAGGTTCAATGAAGTCAGAGAAACATTTCTGACATCTTTTTGCTATTTCCTTTTGAATATGCACAAAATATGTTTCCTCTAGAAAGTACTTGATGACGGTGAAGTGCCAAGGATTACTGGACTAATTTGATGTGATAAACAATAGGATAAACTTGAAAAACATCGCCGCTTACTTGTGTACTCATATAAATTAAACCGTAATTCTTGTTGAAACTACTGTTCCTCTGAAAAGTAATAAAGTTAACGCGGATTTGGAAAAAAAATTATTGCCACCTAGTTTAGAGCTAATAAGAGTATTATTGTATACACTCGTTCTGTTTTCATTACACACACGCTTGTAAAGGTGCTATAAACAATGTTGTTATGAAACCAACCTTTTTTGAACGCTCCTGGGTATGCCAGAATCGTAAAGTTTCTTGTTCGGTCACTTAAGACTATTTGGCTTACATTTTCTGCGACAGGTCTTGTTTGAGATTTTAATTTACAAAACAAGGTACAGTGATCAAAGTCTCTGAAAGAGTTACTTCATAACTGCTTGCGTGCTACATCAAGTTAATTTGTATTCAGAAGAGAATGCTCTCAATCACTTAGCCGGAAGGCAAAATTACACAGACAAAGTCCAACATCTGTGGGTTTAAATTGATAGTTTGGTAGACCTAAAATTGCATAATATAAATAAAAACACCTTAATATGTCTATAGCTTGGGCTTTTTGTAATGATTCTGATAAAGTAAAGAGTAAGTTGCGAAATCAAATCTCTAATCTTGACAAACCACTCCTCGTTTCGACAGGGAATTAGAATAAAGACTTTTTATCTCAAAGGATGTTGTTAATGAAATCCCAAATATTGATTTCAGCTCAAGCTAAAAGGCCTCTGGTGAATGCTATAGATAACGCACCTAATAAACAGTTGAAAGAATTTTAATTACTCAGTTAATCAACAGAAAATCTGATTTTTTCCGTATTTCATCGGAGAAGATGTGTAACTTAGCATCCAACTTTCTGGATCTTAAAACTGCGTGTATTACATCCTTCGGCGGCACATTTTAGTTCCAATTGTGTCTGTCTGTCTCGTTAGTGCTTTCGTAAACCCATGGCGTCTATTGCATTTTTCGCAATATTTCTTTATGATATGAAAATATAGGTTATTAGATAAAAATCTTCAACCAACAGCTTCTTTTCACATAAGCCCATATATTATCTGAATGCTATGTATCTTTAAATTGTGTTATACACGCGATAAAACTTTTTTTCTTTTCCTGGGTTTGCATAAAAAATACATTTCTATGATTCATATATGGATTTTCCTATCACAAGATAATGAGAAATGGACGGAAACAGGTTTAAAAGAAGAAACTAGCCTCCTTCCTATGAGTCTGTTCTAAGTTAGCCGAATAACTATTGCCTTGGTCGTGAAAGATCGTTTTCCCGGGCTGTCGTTAAAAGATCCAGTCAAGAAAAGGCCGCAAATTCGCTTTCTTGCTTGCTAGATACACATTGTTACTAGAGCCACTTTGCCTGCAATTTTTTGTGAAGTTTGTGCTGTATTAAACAAACTTCACAAGGATACTAAAAGCTTTGATTTCCAGTAAGGACATTGCTAGGCAAAACTGTCAATTAGGTAAGGAATCACTAAAATCTTTAAAGAATGGTAATATGGCCGTCTTATACTTCTAATCTTATCTATGTCGAGATTTAAAATGATAAAGTGACAGTGAACAAAATTTACTGGTTCTGAAATGGCTCTGTTTCCTGTTTATAAGTTTAATGCATTTGTAAATTAGTCTTTGTTTTCTAATGGGGCCATTACAATCGAAATAAGTCAGTGCGAAGAAGACAGTTTCTCCCAATCGTTTCTTATGCTATAACAATGCCTCTGTAAAGATAAATATATTAAACAAATTAAGGATTATATTAAGCCTTTAATACATCTGAAATCTATTTCTCATAGACCTTTATCGCTTCCAATTGATACCAACACCATTAATATTATCTATTAAACGTGATTATATGGAAAAGCATGGTATAATGGACTAAAAATGTCGCTGAAGTTTTAAAGCGAAATTTTCCTGCTAAAACCTTTTAGCACATTTTGTCCGTTTGGACACAATCTCTCCGGTGTGTTTAACATTTCATGGTTTTGATTTCAATTCTCTGAGAGCAACCTTACACTACATGGCTTTATAGGATTCCTAGTTCAGATACATTTCTATCGTATGTGTGTTTGGAAAAATAATTATAGTTTACTAATTTTCAGCAAATCATGATAAAACCGTATTTTTCTTTGAAAAGAGAGAAGAAAAGGAAAGCTGTTCGCTAATTACTATCAGTTAATGTATTATGTCGCAAGTTTTCCTTAATACATGTGGCTTCAACACTTCGACACGTGCCCAAAGCATGGTGTTCTTCTTCCTGCCACGCGGTTTTCGTTTAGTTTTTTTTGTCCGATCGCGAAGAATGATACGCGTACATTTCTAGAACTGCCGGTACCTTAACTGTCCTTTACTACAATCGTGTAGAAAATTCAGTTTATTTAAATAGTGATGCGCAAAGACTGAACAAAAGACACAATCCAATGTTCGATAAACCTCATTATCGAAAAGGGAAAACACCGAAGCCATGTCGTTAAGAAAGAGACTGGCAGAGAGAAATGCATTCGGCAACTGAGATCACACAGTGAGTCTTGAGGTTTGAAATTTTAAAAGGCAGCTTATCAAGGATATTTCACATTGACAATCCTTTAACGTCTAATGTATGGAGTTCGTACGCTAAACACTAGTCTGAGTGTTGAAATAGCGTTTCCTTAACAATAAGTGTGGGGCGTTTATTGTTTACGACAGCTGCAGACTAACCAAGAGAGGACAACTATTAAAGTGATTGTTGTTGGAAGCGGTATTAATAGCGTTTATGGATGGCATTGTGGTACCAGTCAAGAATGATTGCTGATAATTACCGACCACTAGGCAAAGAGACACACGTTGTGACTTAAAACTCGTGGCCTTGCGTTGCTTCTCCAAACAACTTCTCTGCGCCGGCGACATGTCTGAAACAATTATTTATCATTTCAATTCTTAGCTAGAATTTTCTCTGCAGCAAAAGCTGCGTTCATGGAAAGATCAATTGTATCTTTAGCGAATAATGGAGAAGGATGAAAAAAAGTACAAGAGATAATGGGTTTTTTTGCTTGTTTTTGACAAATTATAATTAATTTCCTTTATAAATCATTTCACCGTTTGTTTTCCTCAACTTCCCTCGCAGTCGCCTTAAATGAGATCAATCATCTTTACCTTCATTTCCTTAATTTAATTCTTCGTTTTATAAGTCAATCACTAACTTGTTCTTTCTCTTCCATCGTGCCCCTTCCAGGTATGGTTTCAAAACAGAAGAGCTAAATGGAGAAAACGGGAAAAGTCCATGGGACGCGAAAGCCCTACATACCTTTACGGGCCATCGAATGACTACAGGGCCCTTCAAGATGTTCCGCACGTGCACCCTGGTGCACATCCGTTCACTCCAGGAGTGGACAGATGGCACCCGCATGTCCCAGCCCTAAGCCTTTTGTCTCCTTTCGCCACTGCACCAAGTCCATATGGTCCTCTAGGAGCCCATCTTAACGTTCCCGGACTCTCACCAGCAGCGATGTATACACACCATTTGTACAGACAGTACGTCAGACCGGGAATGACACCATTTCTAAAGAACCCCTCGGAAACGCAGGAATTTCGAAGAACGAGCATAGAAAATCTGAGATACAAGGCAAAGCAACACAGCACCGCACAATCACTAGCTGATGGAAACAAGACTGTTTAACTTATAATCCGCCAATTTACCTGCAATATAGAGCCATTTTTAACTATTCTATGTGCCGACAATAAGTATAGATAAAATAAAACAAAGTTACTCTCCTCTAATTTACAGTAAAGAATCCAATTAGGTTTTAGCGCTTAGCTCAAGCATTTCTACAACAAATATATAGACTAAGAATTGTGTATTGGCCTTCCAAGAAATCGAGTTTCAAGAGAAATCAACTTAACATGTCACTCGATGAGGCTTTTTATGAGGACCAACGACTCTGGCTAACTTAGTAAAAGTCAAGCCAAGTAGAAATACACCACTAATCTGCGTAAAACATTGACTTGTAAAGAAATTACTTTGCGACCCAAAGTAAAGTTGATCAACAACATCACTAATTATTTTTTTACACATCGACGTATATAATTGGTTATTGGCCTATAAGGTCATAAAATCAGCAAGACATTCGTATAGAATCATAATTACAACTCGAAAATCGAGTCCACCATCTTCAAATATTGTACATAGTATTCATTATACCTCAGCAATACGGCTATCCATCGTTTTGAGGTTGATGTAACTTATTATAAGAATGTGTGCTTTTTTGTAATAACGAGGAATTGAAAATATATTTAAAATAGTAAAATATATTTCTTATTTATAAACGCTGAAATGCTTGGTGCATGTAAGACCTCGATTGTGGTAATACATTAGTTTGGATAGTTAGAGCACGTGCATACCCATACTTGTATTTTTCTAATCTAAGGTTTCACAAAGTCACACGCATTTTTTCTTCACTTTTCGTTGTGTCACCTTGAAATACGCTTATTTCAAGAAAAGCAGTTTCTAGAACAATTTTATGGCTTTGTAGTTTCTTTGCAATTAAAGTCTGTCTGCTTTGAATTGGGTATTAATGATATGGTTAAACATTTAACTGAAGTATTGTTAAAGTTTGTGAGCTAACTAAGAAGTGGTAAATAAAGTTAGATTCTATAACTTTGCCCATTAAGTAGCAGGCCTGTAGTTTGTTAAGATCTACTGGGAAAACTTCATCTTGTGCAGAGGCTATTGGGCTCAATATTAGCATAAAGAGTGAAGCCTTGAGGGACTAAATGGAATCATATTGAGAGGGTCTCCGTGGGAAGCCCGTTTGACGGCAGACGGTTAAATTTTAGACGATATGACGGCTGCAGTTAATTTGTTGGAGTTAATGTAATATTAGTAGTTGTTATTTGCTCTTTAAATCTTAAAAAAGGCACAATTTTGCAAAAATTGGAATAAATCAATTTTCATAAAATTATCAAAACTTGAGTAAATCTTTTTGAAGGAGTCTGTGTCAGAAGGAAAAAAACGCCGTGGAGAAATTCGAAAACTTTTTCACATTTTCAAGCTTGAAGTGTTGCTTCAGTTGTATATCGTGAAGGATTTTTATATAATGTGTCCAAGAATCTGACTGGAACTTAATGATTTTCTTGACCGGAAATGTTTCGGCTGAATCGCTCAGCCTTCATTAGTCTGTTGGACGGTGAGTGGTAACACATCACTGTAGCAATTAAGAGACTGATGAACGATACAGCCGAAATATTTCCAAGAAAATCAATACTTCCCAGTCAGATTCCTCTGCACGTGTTCAGAACGTCACGGTGGACCGAACATTTCTGCTTCGACCTTTCCATAAGTTCATTTTGTAAAAAATTCACCTGATTGAATGTGTAGAACATATGTTGACTCCACTTTGGTTCTCAATGATAAATGTCTAAGAGAAGGCTTATATTGACTGTCTTTATTGACGACTGACGGCAAAGATCTTCCATTTTAAACGGTTAATGATTAATATTTTAGCCATTTGATGGTTGATGGTTTAGAACCTTTCCAAGGTGACTGACTAAAGTATTCAGAATTCGGGGACCAGATAGTCGCACCGAAGTATGAAAGATGACCCGTTTCCCCTCCGGCCTGCATTAGGTGAGAATGACATTAACAGAACATTTGAAGTGTTTTGTCTGCACAGCGCTCTTGGGAAGTTGAGAAAGATATAACCTCATGTCACTCTTCACCATTTTGGATTTTTCTCAGGTAGATTATGTTTTTATGCGGTTTTTTTCTTTTACGAAGAACTGAAAAATTGACAACACGAATAAATAAATAAATAAATAAATAAATAAATAAATAAATAAAATTGCCAGAGCATAATGTAATGAAATACAAAGTTTTTTCTTTCAAGGACTTGTACATCGATTCTCCGAGTAAGCTGTTGGAGAGTGTCGTTAAGAAAGAAACTTTTGGCACGAACCTTCTCTTGGAAACTTTCTATCAATATCTATCACCATCTCTCTTTAAGAAAGGTTCGACTCCTTAGGTATGGTTAAGGGAAAATACTGTTACCTTATCTTCTCTTGGCATGACTATGACGGGTCCCTAACGATAAGCTCTTGCCTTCTGCTTCTATGGTTTATAAACTTACCTGATTTCTCTCTCGTTGCTCGTAAAATATTACTTTTATTGATAGTGATAGAGGAAACTGTAGTTAATCATTAAAAAAAATCCCGCGCAAACTTGAGCTTTGCTCACTTGACCTATTTCTACCAATCACGAGAGGGGGATGATTCGTGCGCGGTTACTAATGCAACAAGATGGCGACTTTCTTGGAGCTGTAAGAATTTGTCAAACTATCATGGCCTGGATTCCCTTTGCAGGTAACTTCGAAATTTGTTACGATATCTTTCGCCTTTGTTACGTTTCATAGTGTTCGTTTGCAGCCTGCTTATGACATGGGTAGGATCTAAGTTTCGCAACTAGCCCGGTGAAGCCTTAAAAACTGTTGTGCTTCTCGGCGAGTTTGCCTTCAGGAGTTCATGGTTTTTTCCCAGGTTTACCTTCACAGTTTCCCGCGAAATCTTACGGCATGAAAGAGAAGAGCACAAAAAAATTTACTGAACGATGCTTAATAAATCTTAGTTACATTTTTCTCATCCACAGAAAAAGTTAAACCATAGAAACACCAACCAGCTACGGAATGCGCTTTAGACGACAATGGTACAGACAATATAATATGTCACTACAAACAAAGTAAGCTTTCGGTTTAGCAGCCATGGATAGCTTTGTCGACCTTATTAGTTATGAGGCTTCATCAACATAGCATGGCTAACACTATGGCGTTGGGTTCTCACTGTGGACTTAAACTCTAAGATATAAATGTCAATTCACTACACAACCTACCTTACATTTCTTTCACAGTTTATGCCTAAACATTTAAACATAACCTCCTACGTGATATTTTCCTTTCTTATTTTATCACCTTTTTGCTTGAAAATTTAATGATATTGTGCAGAGGAATTGCACTTTTGTCACTCTTTGGAAGGAAAGGGCTAATTTCTGAAGGCTTCTGCATCACTGTCATTCAACAAGAACTAGTAAAATCATCCTATTTAGGCCACATTTTTCAAAGGTGTATTGCTGCGACGGGTAGATATAAGTATTTATGAGAAAGGACAATTTTTTTTAAAATTTCAGTTTAAAAAATGAATAAACAATGAGCATAAAATTTTTAATCAACCCAGAGTGGTTGTACTATGCCTTGTCATATTCTTAACAGCTTAGTATCCCCAATCCAGCCAATGTTCACTTTGTTATTGCTAAAGGGATTGGCGCACTCAAAAAATAGCCATGATAATTCTGATGTTGAATTGCATTGTAGATTTATTACTTGATTTGATTTATTTGCATGACTTATGCTATGTTCTATATTCCAGGACAGTGGAATACCCTCAGTTGATTTATGGGTGTCATGGCGTCAGAGTGCATCAAGGTCAGGGGTATAAAGGTCGAGGTAAATAATATTGTTAGGTCTTGCTTTATATGGTAACTTTGATATCTATTTGTATGTTTTCATGATACCTTTTTAACCAAGGTATGACTTGTTGTTTAATTGTAAGTCTCATTAACCTGAAAATTGTTGCCATGCATGTGAACGTGGAACTGGTTACTTGATTCGGTTTTTCTTACAAAATGTGTCACATGTGTTGTTGTGGTTTTAATGACAGAGAAGTTAGTCTTAAAAGACTCTCATGAATATTGACTTGTCCAAAAATGTGTATGTCGATATATCAGCCAGTACAATAACACTAGTGATTTTATTTTTAAAAAGATATTACTTTGGTAAATATATACAATAGCCACCATCATATACTTTAGGCATAATGAGCTTCAAACAGCAGAGACTTGAAGTACATATGACCAAAAATTTAACTTGTGTCTTTACAATAGAAGTGAGTTTACAGGTAAGGGAGGAGGGTGTGGGGGGAGGGGTGGGTGGAGAAAGAATAGGGTTGTTGGTACATGTTGCTATGGTGATAAGTCTATAATCTAGGTTATGGAAGTTGGTTTTCGTTTTGAGATGCTCCTTTTCTTGCCCCTGGTTTTACCATCACTATCTTTTCCAGATATAGGGTTCTGTTTGCACAGTGGGTGTTGTTAATCTCAGAGAAATGTATCTTTTATATCTTAACTTGACAATACTCAAAAATGTGTAGATTACTCAGAAGAGTACACAGGCTGATCTGTTATTACGTCTTACTGCAGCGCAGTGAGGGAATGTTTGACAGTTCACCAAGTTTTTTGGCATTCCGTAAGTCAAGGATTACAGTCATCTTGAAAGGCCCCCTTACCCTGTGTATTTTCTGATTCAACCTGTTACCAAACTTCCCTATGTTCCCTATGCTAACGGCCCGAAGAATCATTGGTCCACATTCTCTTAATAGCCTCTAACTCTCAAGATTCAGTTAGCAATCCTCCCTTCTTGCCGTCTTACATTACCATGTAATTAAGACACTGGACACCATGCTCTGGCTGATAAGCTTGTCTGATCTCTGCAAGATGAGATATTTGCATTGCAATTAAAAATTACATGTTAGCTATTTCAATTCTAGTAATTAAAGGGTTAAGGTAAAGACAAACCTTATCAATTGTTTAAATTGCGGCGTTTTCAAGGATTTCCAGCCCTGAAGAAGGGCCGTAACTGCACACTTGTAAAGTTACATTAATTCTTACGTATGTTTGCTATCACCAATCGGCTGCTGACACGTCACTCGTCTTTCGCGCCTCTCAGGCAAACGGGGTTTATTCAATAAACAAAGTAATACATTATATTCTTAACCGTACATTCATCACTTCACGGGTTTATTTAGAACCACCATCATGACCAGCTCCCAGTTGGCTTGTTAGCTCAGTTGGTAGAGCGCTGCACTGGTATCGCAGAGGTCATGGGTTCAAATCCCGTACAGGCCTGAATTTTTTTTTTTTCAGGCCTTATTTTCACTACTGCCTAAGTAGTGCACATCACTGCGAGGATCAATTTCATTCATGTCTTTATCCGCAGTTCAAATATATGACTTTCATATATTCTTAACCGTAAAGTAATACATAGTTGCCTGTAGATATGGAATTTCTCTTCTTGTGTTCAACTCGATATCTGTCGTTTGCGACTCTCACTGGTGAGCTATTGAGTTGAATTGGGAAGTTCCGTATCCACGAGCACCCATGTATTACATTCCCTTTTGAATAGGAGGAAAGTTACTATTTCAGCACTCTTTTCTATGTTCGATTGATTGTTTAGTTGTAAAAATAGAATTTTGCTGTTCCCTCTTCGCACATTTTACCGCCTGTACGTCCCAAGAGAATAGAGGCCAATACAATTAAGACGTACCACATCAACAGGAAGGGTGGGGAGCGTAAAAATAATAATAATAGTAATATTAATGACTGCGAATATATGAAGTCGAAAATGTAAAGTGCAGATTAAGAGGTGAATATGAACGTGGTCAACGCAGTAATGAACATTACTTAAGAAATAGAGAAAATAAGGCCTGACAAAAAACCAGGCCTGTGCGGGATTCGAACCCATAATACTAATGATGATAACAATAATAAAAAATTCGGAAAGAGTGGGATGATAATGGCTACATTCATTTAGCGTCATCGTTTTGAAGTACATCCACTCAATTGATTGATGTGTTTGTTCCTAGTCTCATCAGAGAAAATCGCGTTCCCCTTTTTTAGATGTATAGGAGATCTCTAACTTGTTTATCTAACTTTTATTTTTTTTAACAAACTTTTCAAGGAGAAAGTTTCTAATCCCTGAAAACATTTTTTAACCTTGGCAAATTTGGTCTTTTTACAATTAAGGATCACGGGCCTTATTCCTTATTCATTTCTTCTGTCGTCAAACCACATGCATGACGGCGTGTTTGTTTAGCCGACATCATCTTTCCCCATAGTATCGCGGAAAAGAGTCGGTGTGATTCTAAAAAAACCTGCATAATCTGCACGCGATGGCGTGTTCTATGGATATTGGAAGTTATCAATATTTATTTTCATGATACAGCAGTCAGCAATGATAGCGTGGGGCAAAAATTTTGTACTACAGTTACGACCACTTGATCATGGACGTCATTGCAAAAACCCATGACAAACGGAAGTTGCTGACTCACGGCAAAGTTGATTATAGATCCCTGTGGCAGAGCAGTGATTAATGATAGTTAATGTCCTCTGCTTATCACAGCTAAAAGATGTTCAAATGGTAAATTGCACGTAAATTACTTAAAATGATCATTCTCAAGGATGTAGGGGCGTTGCGTGAGTGCTTTCCGCACAAGGAAGAATATCGTGAAGTCATCCCTCTGCGAGCTTGAATAGAATATCACTGTGCACGAGAAAAACTAAGTTCTGAACTGGATTTGTCGTAGTTGAATATGAACTGTGCAAAGTTCGAAGATTCTAAAGGAATTGATTTACGTTTTCGCATGCACGGGTACACCTATAGCTTTAAATGAAAACTGATTTGACGTATTAAGTGTCCAGCCTTTAATTATCTAATCTCTCTAAAACTAGAAGCTTTCTCCAAACTGTTTTGTTGGAGTTATTTATTTTAGTGAAATCTGCGGAAGATGATCAGATGTCCTGAACAAGGACTTCCGCTGATAATCTGTTTGTGATTTGTTTACAACACCTAATATCCTTTAAGAAAACAAAACATACATGATGGCAATCTACGCCGAGAACTTGTTTCTGGACTTTTTTGTGTGAGTAAAACCCGTAAACAATTGTACGCGATTATCTCTAAAAATAATGATCTAAGAGTGTCTTTTATCAAGTATTTCCAGTCAAATAATTAATGGCACCTCCTCGATGTTCGTGCCGTGCTAATATTTATTGCCCGAAGCAAAAGTCCGTATTGATTATTTGGAACCTTAATTAGGGGGCCAATACACTTAACAAGGCCTAGTTTATTTGTGATAAGATTAGATACAAAGGACTGTTGAGCTGTCAAAAGGTAATTAAGTGATGAAGCATTTTGCTTAAAATAAGCCAGCTTTTGAAAAATGCCGATGCATATTGAATCATGACAATGTTCCTTTAGATCTACGACTCATAGTTTGTTTGTGTCGTGTTTCAGTTTGTGTCACCAAATTGCTTTTTACAGAGAATAACTCAAGTCTGTTACTTCTTGACGTTGTTGAGCTTTCATCTTAAGCTTTCGTAGCTGTGCTTTTAGTTTCAACGTTATCACATGACGTTACACACGAACAACTATCTTTTTATTGATATTATTCTAATAATTATTATTAATTAAGAAAAAAACTGAGTAAATATAGAGTTTGCTCTCAGGTTTAGTGAACACTTCTTAAAGATAAAGCTAAGGTAAAAGTTAGGAAACATTTGTTATCAATTATCCTTGTCTAGTGATTTTGTTAAAACGCTCAATCTGTTGTTTGTTGTTCTTTTCAATAGGTCATGAAGTGAGTTCGTTAGCTTTTTTTTTTCGTGAGCGCGAAGTTCTAGTAGTCGTATACACGTTCAAGATACTATTGTTTTTTGATTTTGTGATAAAGGAACGTAAATAAGAAGATCGATGTTTTGAGGTATTTTCCAATGATTTACTAATTTGCAAAAGGCTACATATTGTTGAAATCAACTTTCCCAGTTGGTAGTTCATCCTTTAGAAAAAAGTTGCACGGAAATTTGCTTCAGAACGATCAACAATTAGTCCCTTATTTTTCTATTAAAAACCCAACTAGAGAGTACTAGCCAACCTCGCAGGAAACGAGCTCCTTTGAGCACCTCTCTTTGTTTTAGGTGGTGGTCAGAAAAGACTTCTCCTGCCTTTGCTTTGTTGGACAATAGTTCTTATTTAGTGAAAGTACTTTTTGTTAAAGCGTTTGGAAAAAGGAAAGGAGTACAAAGCAATATAGTTTGTGTTCGACGCATAGGTTGCACTGAAAGACACTAAAATGTTAAGAATACAAATTTTGGAATTTTATCAATGCTTTTTCTACGTCGATCAAGCATTACCGAGTGTTCCCTCCTGAATTGCCATGCAAAATGCTAATTCGTTGGCTTAAAAAGTTACATTTCGTAGATTGCTTGCGTACACTGCCGCATCTCACGTGTTAATGAAGAGCAATCAAGATAAACAATTAAAAAAATCATTATTCAGAAGCTCAAAGCCCAAATTTATGTTCTCTTATTTATATTTCGAAAAGTATAATATTCCTCATTCAAGGTTTGCTTTTTCTCCTTTGAGTTTTATTGGGAAAATTTCCTAATGGTTTGTCTCATTTCATTAAGTACATTTGCGTTGAGGAAGACAGCAACAAAGAATTGTTGACAATGAATTCTTACAAGGTGTCACCTGTTTCTTAGTCACTAATGATTTGGCGAAACACTGAGTCAATACACCTTTTCAGTTTATTTGTCTTCAGGATAATAGCTTAGAAAACGTGTTAAGTCAATGTGCAAGTTTGCCTGTCGCAGAGTACTATCCAAAGTATATATTTGTAGCTTAATTTTAAGTTAAAAGAAAAGGATACGTTTAAAAAAAAAGAGTTAATGATTAAACAGATAAGTAAGGCTTCTGTGCACTGAATAAACTTTAGAAGAAGACGGCTTGAAACAAACGAAAGCTAGGGAAGTTTTGTCATAAATATGCAGCTTGGTGTAAGAAGAGGTTTTCGTTATGATAATTTACACGTTGTTATTATTTCAAATAATGCGTATTTATTCGCTTAACTAGTGATACAAGTACTTGTCACCTTTAAATTAGTGCTCATTACACAAAACATTAAAGGAGAAAATTTGGTATCTAACTCTCGAATAAGTGGAAATACCAATAACGCACAAACTTCTCTCTAGAAACGGCGCATTTGAAAATATTTCGGCATTATTCAGCTTTTCAAATAGATTGTGTCAAAAGCAAATAATTCAACATGTGAGCAAACACATTTGGGAGTGAACAAGCCAAGAAAATTACTAATCTCATAAGAGTATCTGCTTTGTTGGGTCAGCTCTTGGCATAAGGAATAGAATAACGCGACTCGCTTGTTTTTGAAAGTTTTATTTGTGTTGTCAGGAGGTAAATTTTGGATTAAACTGACGAATTTCTTTCTCCTTAATGATTTTGAAAGTACCTTTTATTTAGCTTTAAATCAAAAGTCAATTGTTAAAGCAGGAGAGAGAATTGGCCGAGTCGTATAACATGTTGAATTACCGAAATGGTTATAAACGGGTAGAGAGTTTTTGTTTTTTATAGAATTTTCAAAATGATCAAAATGTAGAAAATTGTTTTGAAGCACCAGTCGCAGAGACGGCAGTGTTCGTGTCGCCCCATGGAACGATGTCGTGCGTGAAAAGAATGTACAAATCGTGCATGCTTTATTTTCTTGGTTTCTTGATTTTTGCAATGAAACTTGTAGGCAATTTTTATGTCTGTTTTAAATTGCTAAGGTTGCCATAGAACAGAATTATTTTTTTTAGAAATATTTGTTATTTTATTTTATCTTACTAAAAATCAATTTTTTACTCGGAAAATGGTTGAATCCATTTTCCGATTTGTTGTTAAATGTTAATTATCACCTCCTGCAGTGAATAGGAGGCACACCTAGCGACGACGTTTGTGGCGAGACTAAATCTGGCAGCATTTTCGTAAAAGTTTGCCTCCGAATACTCTTTCTCGCCCGAAACTCAAGTCAGTGATGACGCAACACGAAGGGAAAAACCCCCAAACTGTTTAGTGCTATATTGTACCCAAGACCGACATTTTACATATTGTTTAGATTTTGTTTTAATTACGCAAGCGAAATTTTTAGGATGCAATACCACAAATTTTCAGTTTATGATGAATAAACGTCCACAAGGTTTCTAGAAGTTCTAGAACTTCTCAATACCCCTGTTGATTATTGTCTTTTCTACCGCTAGTAATTTGTTAGACTGTGGGGTTTAACTGTGAAACGGAAGATATTAAGACCTTGACTAATGGTTAGATTCGTGCATCTCTATCTTTATCCTTACGTAAAACTTAGGTAACTTTCGATGACGAGAAGCTTTGTCAAAGGACATGCTAATATTAAGTCGGACAGTAAAGATTTTTCACAGACATCTCTTCCTTAGGCCAGACGAAGCTGTTTGAAAAAGACGTTGTTAGTAAAGATTCCAGCATGGCTCTAATTGTTTGAGAGATATTGCTCTTTTGCTTCTTTCCTGTTGTGGTCTTGTGTCCTGTTACCCCCATTTTTTTCTCATTTTTAACGGGAATGATACCGCTTTTGTGGTGCCATTGGGCAGATTTGAGGTCAAAACGGCTAGACTCTGACGTAAGGAAACATAATGGGACTATTCTCTGTGAAGAGCTTTCTTCGCGAACGGTAGATAGATGTAGCGTTTGATAGAAGGTTTCTCTTTGACTGAAACCGCCTTTTGTAAAGTTAAATCTGTAGAATCCAGAGAAGCCGTTGTGGTTTCTTAGGGATGCTAATAGCTTCAGAATACCATAGGGACATTAAAGTTCAAAGTTAAGCCGATAAAGAGAACAATATCATGCTTCACATTTAAACCTTTATTTTATCGACTATTTAATTTGCCAAAAATGACAAGAGCTTTACCTCTGACAAATGTGAAGCTACTTAACAGATCATTTATTTACACTGCTTGCTTCAAGCTTTCTAATTTACAACGACGCTAAAGCGAAAAGTTAAATAAAAACTTAAGTATCTCATTAAATATAAGTAATGTAACTACTATCATAATATTGACGCAGGTAAGAAGACATTTTTTAAACCAAATGGAAAATTATAATACTTTTTGCCCAACTCGGACATGTGATTTTCAATTCTGAGATTACGCGACGGCCAATGTTTTCTCAAAAATCGTGGGCATTGTATTTCTTGATAGAAATTACTACGTAAGAGTAAATTGAAAAAGCAAACTATGTTTCAAGTACGTTTTGTACTTTTATGTCAAAATCTCTCGCCAGTGGTTGTTGTTTGCGATTTTTTCTAATGTAGAATTGATGTGATTTAATAAAAAAAAATCTATCTTCATTTTGTCACTTACTTTGAAATTTGAACTTACTAGTTCAAATTTCAGTTGGGCATGAATCTTCACGTAAATTTGGGATTCGTAAAGTACGGGAACAAATACTAGATTACAACTCTGTCAAACTTTTCTTTAAATAATCGGTTATTCTCTCTCCTATTTACTTTTGTTTCCTATTCTTATCCGCTGCACCAATTCTTTTTCACTGCGTCGCAGTTGGCATTTCAGACCACTCTTTTAAAGTATGGTTTTCCATGTGCTCTTTTGCTTTCATTCTCAGGGATGCAATGCTTGTTGTTCTCTCATCTCGGGCACCCGAGTGTCCACCAGGTATGCATCCCATTCCAGGGAGATAAGACGAGAACGGTACATAACTTGTGGGACTGAACGATCCTGGGAAACAACCGAGATTCGGAGATGTCGGAACATTTGCCGGAGGGTACAAGGCCCCGCCAAAGGCTGCTGAATAGGTTAGGGAGCTCTTCCACGGATCGGGAAAGGGAAGACTGTTGAATTTTGGCCTGGATATTGTTTGGGGAGGAATGTGTTCGAGAGAAGCCATCTCCATCTTCTCCTGCCTTCTCCATTTGGCTCGACGATTTTGAAACCACACCTGTAAAATGATTGAGTGCAGACGATTAACTAGTTTGCAACGCGCGTATTCTTTAGTCCAACATAAAGCAAGGAAGAGGAGTGGTGAATATCCCGGTATATCATCATACTTTATGAATAGATAGTTAATGTGAAGGCAGAAGGAAGCCGTAATAATTCGACTCCAAGGACGTGTTACACTGGTTTTATGTTAAGATAAAACTAGCACTACATTTCAGGAACTTATAAAGTAATCTCCACCACCTGCTCTTTATTATGTGAGCCATCAGATAAATTTCATTTGTAGTCAACGTTTTTAATTAAGATAAAGCAGTTTTTGGCCATACAAAATACTGAAATTTCATTTGATGTCTGCAATCAACCAAAGGGAAGGTTATATCAATCTTTAAAATATCCGGTATGTCGTTTCTGAAACCAGTTTGAATAATGTTATTCGTTGGGAGAGCAGTATTCCTAAAACCATATTGAAAATTGGTATAATGCACATCAGAGGCTAAGAGAGACGTGTGGGCATAATTGACTTTTTCCCAGTTCTTTTTAGGCCTCTGAATATCCTAGTGTCCTGGTTGTTTATTGACCTTGCTTTTTTAAGGATGATTTAGAAGCATTATGTCCAAGCGAATTCAAAGAACGACGGAGCTTTCTTCCTAAATATGCGTGCTTTGTTACTCGATCGGATGTAATAAAAACAGACACAGGTGATGGGTGCGTGCAGATAGCGATAATTATTTGCGTCTTTTACACAAACGGAGCATAAAATATTTAGCTTATGGTTAGACAACAATTACTACAATCTTCTTTAGCGCCACTAACGGAAGGTGAATTTATGGTATCGAGACTGCTTCTTTCTCAATCTTTGGTGTGGTTACCGTAAATTTGACTGCTAGGGAACTTGCTGAGACTTTAAGATTAATGTCATCGAAATGGTGTTTTCTATCCTCTGTGCATATGTTTGCCATCGCGAGTTTCACTATTGTTCTTCCCCAATTAGCAAAGAGATAAAGTTTAAATTGAAAATTTGCAGGAAATTAAAACAGTCTTTACATTGTGCTGTAAGAGATAAAGAGAAAAACCATACATGCATTTAATGTCACTGCAATTAAAACAACCGCAATTTTCTAGGTCTGGTGACGCTTTTGGCGTGGAAGCGTTCAGTCAAAGGAAACGTTATCAGCTCAGAACTGATTTAATTTTATTTTTGGCTACAGATACACCTTGCTCTAACGAATTCTAACGATCTTACTTTTTGTCCTGGCCAAGATTTCAAACTTTGTAGCGCTATACAATACAGGAACGTGTTGACTCCACCAACTTTTTTCATGGCACTCAAAATTCTCTCGCAGGCCATGCGTCTTTCAAGCGAGCTGTCTAAGAATATTTTCTTTAAACCTGGTCCATCGAATCTAACACAAAGCCTCGGATGACAGTTTAATTAGGGTTGTATTCTAATTTTGACGCCTTCTGTAAACTATTTTTCTTGCCACGGTCGGAGAATGCGTTTTTCACACGCTTATCGTTGTCCTGTTATGTGTGCCATTGTTTTCACTTCTGAAAAAGCGTATTATTAAGGAATAAGTGTCTGCAATAGGTTTCACTCACTAATGGCTTTTTTGTCATTATCAGAGATGTAGGGCCAAACAGAAATTGCAGTGGCTTGATTGAAAGTAAGTAATACAACTAGCGAAATATTTCCTCGTTACGGAACTGAATCGTGATAGTTAAGTATGTTTGAGGGAAAAGTATTAGGTTGTGGAGTCACCAGCCTAGTGTGCTTAGTTTGTGAATATTTGGTTGTTGTTAGTATTAGAACCATCTTCCTGTCTATTATGGGCCTGTTTTCCGTTAATGTTCGTTTATAATGAGTGGGTCTTTTCCAGACAAAGTATGAAACTTCAAGGTCTGTTTTTGTTTGAAGTTTTTGGTGTAATTTGGTTGGTATCAAGTAACAGTTTCCTAATAAGTAATGACTGGACTCACACTACAGCAACGTGGTGTGTACGGACTTAATCAACTTCATACTCGGCAAAGGAGACGGAAAAAGACACAAAGAAAGACAAAACACGTACAAAACAATATGTCCCGTTCCGCTGTTTCGTGATTTCGAAGAAAAGATCTATTCTTTTTCTTGTCTTTTTTTTTCTCATCGGAGCGACAAAGACGTGGTTGATTTGATTTTTCTAATATCATACGGAACCGGCAGCTGAAAATTACTGAAAATAACCATTAAAAAGAATTCGTCAGGCATCCGAACCGCCGCAGGGAAAATAAACCGCAGACTCTGTTTATTAAAATGAAAACAGTTTGATTCATTGGCTCAGTAAGAAAGCTAACAAAGGTAAAGCGATATCTAAATTTCGTAATGAATTCTACTTACAAACATAATAAAGAAATTAGGCAAAATCAAATGTTTTTACTTACTTGTACCCGAACCTCGGGAAGGTCAATTTTAAGAGCGAGTTCTTCCCTAGTGTACACATCGGGGTAGTGCGATTTTTCAAACGCTCGTTCAAGTTCGTGGAGTTGAAATGTAGTGAAAGTCGTGCGATTTCTCCTGTGTTTCTTTTTTGACGACTCCTCAGTGAATTCATCTGTTGAGAAGGAAAAAAACAGTTGTTGTTTAGATTACTCAATTAAAAGTAGATTGTTTTGACAGTCCGTGGCCACGTAAATAAACGAAACATTCATTTTAAATCAACATCGCTTAGGATTGGCCTCCTACCGTGAAATTCACTGTTTGAGTCTTCGAGATCCGAGTCACGGTCGCTGTGACTTTCCTTAGAGCTTGTGGGTGAATTACACTTTCCGTCTTTTCGCTTCAAAATTTCGCTGAGAAAGTGGTCTTTGTTATCATTTTCGCCGTCTCTGTTGGTGTTATGGATGTCGTTCTTCTGTGGCGTCGAATCGCTCTTGATGTGGCAACTCATTTTGGTCATTACTACAGCAGGTCTGAACTACGACTAAACTTATCGTCCCGCAAGTTGTTACAAAATACTACGGTCGCTCGTGCTAACAGCGAATTAACAGGACAAGGCGGGTGAAATAATGCAAAAGATATCTAGATAACAAAAAGCTAGCCAATCACGCTTCAGAACTCAATATTTTCTATGTTCTGATATTGTATTGAAATTACCTGGTTGTTTGTTAGCAGTGACAAGAGCGGTGATTACTAATCACTAATGAACGCAGCCTTGGTAGACTGTAGAGCACACATTAGATGAAAAGAAAGAGATGCTTATTTTGATTGACAATAAATAATCACGCCGGGATATCTCTCTGCACTTGATGTTTCCAAGTTAGGTTAATTTTTTCGTCCCTCGCCGCAATAAATTACACTTTGAATGCTGTGAGTGCTTATTTGGGATTAAGTTTTTGTAGATATTTTTGACATCTTTCCGACGCATAAATTGTCGAAGTGGGTGCGCTATGCCATGAATTCGCAACAAATTTAATAATTTCGACCTCACACGCAACGTTTTGAAGTGTGGTTTTAAAAACGATATTGGTTTTGACGACAAATAATTGAGTACTCGAGTTTAGCTTGCGTGTGATGTTTGGTGTTTAAGTGATTTACTCTAATCACAGTTCTATAAACATACTAAAGGTAGATATTGGATAAACCAACCCTTCGGCAAACACACCATAAAGGAATATCTAAAGCGTTATTGAAATCTATGAGTTCTAGATTTCGGCTGCTCGCATCATTCAATGCTTGTTAATGACCGATCACAAATTCGGGGCCTTTGGTCGACGATTTTCTCGAAATTAGCTTAAATTTAGCCTAATGTGTGTAATTAGTGGCTATTAATTGCACGACTTGGTAATCCCGAGGTGGCAATAGGATTGAAATCGCTAAGTAAAGCTAACGGTTTCGAGGAGACACTGTAACCATGCAAACTGCGCTTGCGCACAGCAGACATGACACGTGTAGTAAATTAAAACAAGTTCTTTTAAAATCAGGCATAATATTTCTTAAAAAGAAAATGCTAATTAGGTCGTGATTCTTCAAGCAAAGCGTCAAATAAATCAGCATAAGGAAAATTTTGCAAAAGATAATTCAGTTTCGGAGCATTCCGATTTTTCTTGAAAGGATGGCTGCATCGTTGAGGATTTAAGTCTGAAATTAATTTTAGAGGACTTATCGAAAAATATCATATAATTTTTCTTAACAGGGAAGCCTTAAAAAATCATTTCAATCTGTATGTTGGTGCATGTTTTTTTCCTATTTATTTATTTATTTTATCCATCACGTATTTGCTTCAAACACTTCAACGCGCCTACGTTATTAGCTGTTTATTACAAAGGCGAAATCAATTTCGTTTTCCATTAAATTGGAAAACTAACTATTGTGTTACTCATTGTAAGCAGTGCCCTTTTCATTAGCAGATATTTTAAAGAATGAGGGTGTAGCTATAGTAGCGGCCTTAAAGTTGAAGAAGGAAATTAAAATCAAATTTAATTAAGATTCTCGGCAAAGAGTTCACTCAGTTGACAGTTCAACGATACATTGTACCGGAGAGCAAGTTCCGCTGAACGTGCCGCTGAAGTTATTAAAAAAAATTAAGGCCAATAAGAAACGTGGTCTTGTGTGAACTGCGTCTTTTAAATAATTGTATCATTGGATTTGTGTTTTGATTGAAGGATTGAAATTTAGGTTGGAGGATTTTGTTTAGATGGGGAGATTTTAAGATAAACAATCTTTTCAAATCAGAATGACGAGTGTGGTACGAATAGGTGTTTCGAACAGTCGGATATTGTCTATTTTTGTTACGCTCACGTTTCAATAGATTGGCTTTTAAAAGAAACCCGCAGACATGAGCGGGCAGGCCTTAAATCGAGACCTTTACGATATTCCGACACAGAAACCTCCAGATTGAATGGGGCCTTGTATATACGTAATCATAACATCTTTCGTCAATGGGTCATTTATCTTTGGTAACTCCGGATCCAGCGCAAAACTTGTGGTTTCGGTGGAAAGAGGGAAATATAGGCGTCTTTATGTCTCCTTTTAAGTTAGTTTTGCCTTAAGGAAATGGCGTAGAGCGGCATCTGGTTATTACTTAGCCTCATAGCTACAAAGCGACAGGGTTATAATTCGGCCAGTTTCCTTCAAGAGGCTTTGCTGAATTGAAAAAAATCTCTTGGGATTGACATTAAGCCCCAAAACAAAGCCAGTAATCATCAGGTCATAAAGCTTTATTTAAAATTGGACTTCGTTTAGTAATTACACGCTGGATTGACCATTTCTCTTGATAAGCTCTCAGTCTTTGGTGACCCGCTCTGTCGTCAATCAAAGTGTTGCCTGAGGCAAATGTTACCTCAAAAATAACTACGCACCGTGATTTTATCACTGGCAGAAGGAACTTAAATAGTTTATACTATCTTAAATAGCAATTAAATAATCTATTGTAATTGTGTGCATGTCCTAATGACTTTCTAGCCACTTTATCTTTATTAATTATTGTTCTTACGTACTTGCGGGAAAATGTTCCTTTTGTCTTCGTTACTATGCTTTTGAAGAATTTGTGCGACTAGGTGCAAATCGTTTATGAACAACTTCAAAGCAATGCTCTCTCAAGAACAGGTTACATTTTACACGACTTTTACTACTTAGTTCGCAAAGATGAAACAGTTGAAAGGTCAAGCTTGTAGCGATGTTACGCAGCAAGGATGGGTTGGAATACATGGATGGGACTTACCCTTCTTCCATCAAACCGAGACAAAGCAGGGTTTTCTTGATGGTTGGTCATGTTATTTAATTTTTTTTTTTCAATAAAGGCGAAAGCTTTCTTCCTTATTAGTTGAAGTTGCTTTAGTTGGGAGATTAATAAATGTATGAAATAGCAGAAAAATAGATAGCTGAGCACAACGATAAATGCAAAAATAATTTAAGGAAAATAAGGAAAATGTGAGAGTAGCCAACATAGTCGTCAATGAGGTGCCTTGATATGCGCGGAATATACTGTGCTATTCGTGCGATTGATTTGCCTCCATCTGGAAAACACTTCAAAACGCAAACTTGATAACGTCCTTTTAAAGTGCGGCCATGAAAAAGTTCTCCGTGGAAATCAACTCGGCTTGCTTTTGTCAAATGACAACTGCAGTTATCGAAATAAATGAGTGTCAAGAAATCGCTGTCTATAAGATGTGGGAAGGCTCAATTGATTGACGAATTTACCTCAGAAATACCTTAATCTTTCCATAATGTTACCATACAGGTTTCCAGCGGAAATTTACATGTATATTTAGCGATAGTATTGTAGTATAGTCCTTTCAGTATATACAGGGTTTTAGTCAAAACATAATTCGAAGCATGTGAATGTTTCTTTTCTCTTAATGAAATTATATTACGTAATTGTAAAAGAATAGACTGATGGAATGGTTAACACATTTATCGTCTGTCAATATCTTTTCTGGCTAAGGGTTGAACGAATATTTGCTATTTGCAAAGTTAGGGAAAATGATGAGAATTTTATGCTGTCGGCAGGCTTTTCCTTGAAATAGCATAGAAATCAAATTTAGCACAGAAGTGTTCCTTGAACTGATAGAAGAACAAGGCTTCCATCAAGCTTGCTTATTCTGTGCTTAAAACAATAGTTCGCCTTTTCGTTAACAGTTTCACAATTTTCTCAGTAAATTCGAGATTGTGAGGAAAATTTGCTCATAATTAGCTCTCCTTATAGTTCCTGGGAAATACTTGAAATTTTTACTAAAAATTTTCGGTCAGTTGTCTGGAATTTCTATGGTTCCATTTACGTTGAAATTTTTGCGGTGGGGTGATAGTATGTGTGCAATCTTGACTTAACAGAGCAAAGCCGTTATTCAAAATTCGACTTTAGGTGTTATTCCAGAGCGAAAGAGCCTCTTCAAAAAAAATTGTCTCTCTTTTCTGTGAAGTAATATTCACACTCATTCCAAAGTTTCTTTGTGATTAAACTTGGCAAGCCGGTGAGCTTGGCTGACAGACAGAAACTAAAAAAAATGCGATGCTATGATTTTGAATAGGGTTGGAATTAAAAAAGTAGCGAGCGAGTGTTATGTGGAACTATCTAAACATTCATAAATTTTCTGAATAATTTTGATGGAGGAATTTGTGTCTTTGCAACAATAAAATCAATAGTCCAAGGTTAATGACCCTTACATTACTTACACTTTTTGGCTACGAATTTTGATTCCTTTTTCTTCTTCTTCAGCAAATGATATCATGAAAAAAGACTTCAAGTATACTATATATATATATTTTATGGGATGATCTACTTTCTGAGATGCAAGGAAAGAAACATGCTGAAAATTTCTCTTGGCAAACCCGACGTAAAGAGAATGGTAATTTAAAATATTTTAAAAATGTCTTAATTGTAAATATATTGAACCAAAACTGACAAGAAGTGTCCGGTGATTCTCTTCTTGTCTCTAGCACTAATTTAGGCTTCAATATTGCAACAGTAATTCTGTCAATATCGTAGAGGAGCTACTGAACCTTTTACTTATCTATATGTAAAAGCCGCCTTGTGTTCCAAGGCTTTTCTCCGTAACGAAGCTATACTAGAACCACGCCACAACTCTCCTCCATTAGGAATGCTGCATTGGATATCTTGTAGAGAAGGCGAAGACGAAATGGGCATCTCCCTGGCTCCGCCAAACGGTTGTTGAAAGGTCTGTTGGGCTGGTGGGGTGGCCTGTTGTTGGATGGACATGCTGAGGTGTGATCTCGGCATAGAACCTTGATGTGAGTATGTCTGTGGAAGAACCTCATGTCCAGTCTGTGCGAATGGGTGATGCGGTGGGGAGAGAGGAAGAGAAGGAGTAGTGACTGGAGCCATCGTTGGCATTGCTGTGCCCATTGTGCTGGGCCATCGGTGATCATTGTGGAAAGTACACAAGGAGTCACCTATGGGGCTGGGGTTGTACGCCTGGGCCATGTGAGATGGAAGAATCGGGGCAGGAGGTCGAAGAATTGCAGCTGTCTTCTTTCGTTTCTTCCATTTAGCGCGTCGATTTTGAAACCAAACCTGAAAACCAAATAAATAGAGTTTACAATTTTAACACTATTGTAATCAGTTAATAGA